TGGTTACACTGTACTTCACTGAGATCTCTTGAGCCTCTTTGGTTGGGGGATTTTTTTTCTATGGTAATAAGTCCAGCACTACGTTAAGCTCTAATACTTTTCTGTTGTTTTGTTTTTTGTTTTCCTGATCCTTTTCTGTTTAGCTCCCAAAGCTAGCTGGTATTTATTTTGTTTGTTGTAAAAATAAGGTTCCCAGGAATTTTTGGTTATCTGATTAAATTTGTCCTATTTTTTGTGTTTAGATTGTTGGAAAGAAAGATAGCTAAAGGAATGGGGGAAATTATGAGGTAAAGAGAAGGGAAAATGAGGGAACCCTTATCTAGTTCAGTTTGAAAAGTATTTTTTAGTTTCATTTTTTTCCATAAAGGTCACCCGTGAGGTTATCTGCCACGAGTGAGAAAGTAGGGCTGCTAGTAAGGTTTAAAGGGGGTACAGAATGTATGAATGAACTATCCACTGCAGGAATGTGCTGGGAAATAAACAAACAGTGACATCAGAATTACTGAGCAACTTTAAGTGCCAGGTTGACATTAAATGGCAAAAATTTGTAGTGGGTCAGGTAATCCAAGTTTTATGAATTTTTTCAGTAATGTTTTTATGCTTGGGAGCAAAACTGTAGTTGGAGGATGAAGCCATGCAGTTTTGATATTAATTTAATAAGCAAAGGAATAGATTATAAGGAGTGAAGCTGCCTGAAGTGTTAGTAGTGAGCCATGGTCTTTAATCTGGACAAGAAGTATAATATAGTTAGAAGAAAGTAATGCACTATCTAATCTGATAGATTTCAGATTGCCATTGAAAAGTTGGACAAATGAAATTTAAGAAACCTTTAGTGGAAAGCATTGTGACATAGTGGGAAAAAGTCATTATAGCCAAAAGACTTAGATATGAAACATAGCTACATCACTTACACAAAATATGTTAGGCTAGTCGCTTTGTTTTTGAGTGTCAATTTCCTGGATAATTATACTAATCTCATAGTGTTGCTTTAGTTATAAAGCACATAGCAGTTCTGGGCATAGTAGGCATTCAACTTCATATTCCTTCTCTTATTAGTGGGGAAAAAGATTTTAAAGATTCTAACTTTACAGCAGCCGCTTGTGGAAGTCCCCAAAGAATCTATCTATCTCTATATATAAAAGCCTAAGCGACCGTTATGACCGAAAGACTGGAACGACTGGTTGACCAGTCGCTATGATGCACATTGACCACCAGGGGGCAGATGCTCAATGCAGGAGCTGCCCCCTGGTGGTCAGTGCGCTCCCACAGCCAACCTCCCATGGCCGGCCAACCTCCCATGGCCGGCCAACCTTCCGCTATCCCTCCCCCTGGCCGGTGCCTCCCCTTGGCTGGCCAGCAAACCTCCCACGATCCCTCCCTCCCATCCCTCTCCCCAGTCAGCAGGCCCTGATCGGCCGGGCACTGATCGGCCTGGCCCCGATCGTAACTGGGTGAGACGGCCTGATTGGAACTGGGCGAGATGGCCTGATCGGCCCTGATCACTGGCCAGGCCTAGGGACCCCACCCATGCACGAATTTGTGCACTGGGCTTCTAGTATTACATAAAGAGTTTAGACAGACTATATATATCTAAAGTTCATACTTGTTTGTACAGGCCTCTGCTATTGGCAGTGGCCAGGTAAATATAAAAAAATGGAACAGAAAAAGCAAAGGTATAGTAGAGATAAATATACTTAATTCTCTCTCTGTTTCTCTCTGTCTCTGTGTGTGTGTGTGTGTGTGTGTGTGTGTGTGTGTGAGAGAGAGAGAGAGAGAGAGAGAGAGAGAGAGAGAGAACATGAATGAATGAATGAATGAATGGGTTATGAAATATGGCAAAAGGTAACTGAAACAGTATCTTCAAAACTAGAAGACCAGCATTTACTGAAGGAATAATTACCTACTTTGTGTAAGTAGGTAACAAGCATACAGTCTTGACTTCCTGAAGATAATGGTAGCTGACTGACTGATGTCCAGTCTAAAGACCTATAGGTCACAATCTAAAGTTTCAAGAGAATAAGAATGTATTTATCAATAAAGAGATGACATCATCAAGAGTCAAAATTAGGCTTTGGCTTGATAGCTCAGTTGGTTAGAGTGTCATACACCAAGGTTGCAGGTTCGATCCCTTGTCAGGGCACATACAAGAATCAACCAATGAATGTATAAATAAGTGGGACAACAAATCGATGTTTCTTTCTCCTTTTCTCTCTCTCAAATCAATCAATAAATAAAAGAAGTTTAGAAAATGAGTCAAAATTAGAAAATACAACTGGGAAATATAAAGGTTGATAAAAAGGTGGAAGATACAATTGCCTCCTAAGTGTAAAACTTACATACCTTGTCTTCCATTTATACTCACTTCCTAGGTGACTTTATTTAGTCTCATGATTTTAAACACTATGTACCAGTATATATCTAAAAAAAGGGAATAAAACCCCTTCTGTTTATATGCTGATAACTTCTAAATGTATATCTTTAGCTCTGTCTTTTTCTAAGCCCTAGGCTAAATATCTTATTGCCTCCTGGATATTTCTACTAGAATCTCTAATAAGTATCTCAAATTTAACATGTCCAAAATAGAATCCCTGATTTCTACTGCCTAAATCTTTCTCAAGTGGATAAATAAATGATAACTATCCTTAGAACTGCTCAGGTAAAAAAGTTTGGAGTTCATCTTGACTTCTCACTTTTTCTTACATTCTGTTTTGAATTTACTAACAAATTCTATTGCTTTTATCTTCAAAATATATCCTGGATCTGATTACTTCTTAGCATCTCCATTGCTACCACTCTGGTCCAAATCTCTTGCTGGAATATTGCAGATACTGCTAACTAGTCTCCCTGCTTTTTTCCCTTTCCTTCCTATATGACATACCATATAGAAGCCAGAGTAAACATTTAAAATTTTAAGACATGTTATATTTTAAAAAAAGACATGTTATATTCCACATTATGTTTTCCTTCCTCAAAATGAGCTATTATAATAAACTAGAGGCCCGGTGCACAAAATTTGTGCATGGGAGGGGGGTTCCCTCAGCCCGGCCTGCACCCTTTCTAATCTGGGACTCCTGTGGGATCAGGCCTAAACTGGCAGTCGGACATCCCTCTTGCAATCCGGGACCGCTGGCTCCTAACCGCTCACCTGCCTGCCTGCCTGATCTCCCCTAACCAACCTGCCTGCCTGATCGCCCCTAACTGCTTCTGCCTGCCCCTCTGCCTGCCTGATCGCCCTTAACTGCTCTCCCCCACAGGTCTGATCGCCCCTAACCACTCTCCCGTGCCGGCATGCTCTGCCTGCCGGCCTTACTGCCCTAACCGCCTCTGCCTTGGCCCCCGCCATTGTGGCTTTGTTTGGAAGGACGTCTGGAAGAACGTCCAGTCTATCTGGTCTAATTAGCATATTACCCTTTTATTAGTATAGATGATTGTTTCTATGACCTCTCCACCCTCATCTCCTTTTACTTTGCTCCTTTCCCTCTATACTTCAGCCACAGTGACATATTTGCTGTTCCTCAAACATGACCTTACTTCAGGGCTTTTCTGTTTGTTCCTGCTGTTTGGAACACAATTCCCTTCATATGACATATGCCCTCAATGCTTTCTGATTTCCACTTTATCAGTGAGGCCTAATTACCCTGTATAAAATAGAAGACTCTATCAATCAGGTCCGTACAAGAAAACCAAAAGTCCTCTAGGTATGGAGGGGAGGTTGGAGAAAGGAGAATTTAATACAGGATTGGTTACAGATGTATTGGTTACCAAAGATCAGAAACTGTGGGAAGTCACCATCATCCCTAGGGATGTTGGGGGAAAGTATTACTTAGAGTCAAGGAGCTTATACCTCTGGTAATTTCTTTCCACCTTCTAATATCATGTTAATGCATCCCAATGGCAAAACCTAACTGGACCACAGCTGGAAAGACAGCCTTATTGTTTAGGGGAGAGTATAAAAGGGCTAATTTGAGGGAAGTTTCAACATATAGTATCTGGCATTACCTCTTCTACCACCACTCTTTATCATCTGACCCTTTCTTTTTCTTCATATAATTTATCACTGTTTGTTTATTGAATACCCCTCTCCTAACCTACTTGCTTGCTGCTATATTCCCAGTGGTCAGAACCATGCCTGGCATCAGTAAGGCACCGTACTAAGGGGTAAAGGGTGGTGGGAGTGGTCTGCCCCAGTGGAGAGGAGCATTTTATCACTGGTATTGTGTAGAGAAAAAAACAAAAACCCGATTAGCAAACCCTTCCATAAAGATCACATGGAATTTTAGCAGGAACAGGCTAGCCATGGTATTCCAATTCATTGAATTCTTTCCCACACAGAGGTGGCTTACATCACAGCAGCAGAGAGGGCACAATTCATTGTCCTAATAGACCAGCGGTTCTCAACCTGTGGGTCGCCAACATTTGGGTCGCGACCCCTTAGGGGGTCGAACGACCCTTTCACAGGGGTCGCCTAAGACCATTGGAAAACACATATATAATTACATATTGTTTTTGTGATTAATCACTATGCTTTAATTATGTTCAATTTGTAACAATAAAAATACATCCTGCTTATCAAATATTTACATTACGATTCATAACAGTAGCAAAATTACAGTTATGAAGTAGCAACAAAAATAATTTTATGGTTGGGGGTCACCACAACATGAGGAACTGTATTAAAGGGTCGCGGCATTAGGAAGGTTAAGAACCACTGTAATAGACTAAGTACTGAATTTGTACAGCTGAATATCTATAGCTATCAGTCAACATTCTTTGCATGTGTGGAAAGGCCATTGTTTCAGTCTAATAAATGGAAGGGATTATTTATATGTAATTTCTACTTCTTCCTTCTCATCTTCTGTACTTGAACTATCCTGAGGCCAATTTTTATTTCTTAGTTATAGGAATGTGGTAATAGTTATAATCCACAATCTTCTCTGTGTAACATAGATGTCAGAAACAGTTTTATCTGAAAGTCCCCTTCACCTGACCTCCCTTTTTACCTCATTCCCTGTTGACATGACTGCAACCACTGGAAACTTATTAACTTCAACCTCCGTGACACCTACAGTTGCCAGAAGACCAATCTCTGAGGGGCCCATGTGCGTTCCTTTGGCCAACACGCATTCCCCTCTTTTAATGTCATGGCCGATGGGTCTGAAAGTCAAAGCAGAACCATAAGCACGATGAGTAAGAATTATATTTTCACTCAGAGGGAAACTTTAGTGTCAGAGAAGGAGGACACTCTAGGGAGAAAAATATTAACAGATGGGGCAGGAGCAGAGTAATGAAATGAAGAGATTCTAAAACCTGCATGCTCCTTAAATTAAAAATATTAAATCATACAACAGAAGACAGAAATAGAATTTATATCTATTACTGCTAAACAGGAATATGTTATTTCACATTTGAAAATTACTTTATAAATTGCTTTGTACCACATTTCTGTCAAAAACGCCAATTGCAAACTTTCTTTGATATCAGGCAAGAAATTATATGGAGTTAATGATAAAAAGTCTACAGCTTGTTAGTTTTGTGGTAAGGAGAAAAATGCTAATAAGATTAGAGTCAAAGAGATAATTTCTATTTGAGTCACTTAGGTTGGTCCAGTTATGTGTCTGCATAAGTCCATTCACCTTGGCCTCCTGACATAAGGATGGGAGAAGCATAGCTTTGCCACAAGGAGATTTGACAAATTAGTATTAATGAAATCAGGGTAAATATAGTCCATTGTAACAAAGACCATTTAAAATATGTGCCCTTCTTATGGTAGGACAGTGGTCTCATCTTTGCTTTTGATTATTTCATTTGCCTCTACAATCGCCATGAAAATGTAGGCAGAGCAGACATGGACTGTAGAGTTCAGAAAATTCATTTCCTACTTGTTAAAAAACCTGAAAGATAATGGTTGACTGAACTGTGGATTTATGATAGCCATTCTTTCCTGAGTTCATGAACATGCAGAAACAAAAGTTGGCTATACATTTTATATGTTATGAACTTACCTGATATCTTGGCCTGGCCGAGCTTGCACCAGAATTCGTACTTCAAGTTCTTCGGTGCCCTATAATAAGAGGAAGTCGTGCAATTTCAAACAGAACAATCTAACAGAATTTCTGTTCAATGGAATTTAGCTACATCAGATAGGCCCAGAATATATACAAATAAAGAGAAACAAAAAAACATTTGCTAAACACTTTGACATGATAAATTTCTACCATAGGTTCCTGCAAAATTAGGTTTGATGCCAAGGACTAAATAAAATATTTTTACACTTTAAAAAAATATACCAATTAAAATACTGAATCTTACTTTGTAAGTAGCATTCTCAAGGAAAAATAATTTTATATATATTATTTATATGTAATGTTTGTATGGAAAAATAATACAATTAATAAATAATAATATAAGAATAAACTGTTTTGCATACTCACAACTCTAAACCTACCTTTGCCCCACCTTGTATATGTATTTGGCTACCCTAGTAGACCCAATGAATGTGTAAGGAGATAACCTATCTCTTCTGTTCCCATGAATCATGGGTTTAATACTATACCAAAGTTCCCAAATATCTGCAGAAATTTCAGTGAAGGACTTATAGTTTGCCTGGTAGTAAATTTCTATAAATGAATAGTGATCATCAATTTTACATTTATGGGCTGTGAATAATATTGTGAGACTGGAACTGTGTTTTGTCATCTGGCAGAGTCTGTGGAGGCATGTGTTCTGCATTTCAATGTTCTGTTGGCTTCCCTGATGCCAATAAATCTGCTGGACAGTTTTAACAGCAAGCAATGTGATCTGTATGCCAAGAGTTGAACTTTATAAGCATTACATGTGATAAGACGATTTAAAAAATTCCCAGATCAAGAAAAGTGGCGGTCTCTTAGCATGGCCAAATTTTACTATATGCCAGACCAGGAGAATATTATTTTTAACTTCAGCTTTTAAAATATAAGCTACCTTAAACTTCTTCACAAAACAAGTAAGATAGCCAATCATTAAGACTTCAGTTGAAACCATTCTTTTATTGGTGGCTGATCCTCTGGCTGTAATAATTGCCACTAGTTTCAGTGACATGAAGGCCTGCTTAGACCAAAAAAGATCCCATGGTCCTTTATTTCAGGCAATAGAGGGGGAAACTGATATCAATTTAATATTTCCAGGCTGTCAATAGGTGGCACAGATTTTTCTGAAATACAGATACTAGAGCTGAATGTTATTTTGTTCAATTGTTTGGCTTAGTGTAATATTTAAGAACCTGCCCAAGTGTTCTTTGTTAAATTTTTCTCTATTAAGTCTCCCTTTACATTTTATCAGAAGCTAGTGTCTGTTAACAAACTCCTTAGCTAGAAGGTATGTTAACAATTAATACCTCTGCTCTTTTATCTTGAGGTAGTTTCTTTCCTTGTTTTCATGTGATATTTCTTGAATCAATGTGGTTCAAATTCTGCTATAATCACAGTAATACAGTGAGTCCTCGGGTTATGTCGGAGATCCATTCCTACGGCGTGACGTAACGCGATTTTCACCGTAAGTCGGAACCCACCTACATAAGCACCTACATCACTCACATGGAGCACATACACAGCAGTAATGAAGTGAAACAGTAAAAAAAAAAATTTGACCTTTACTTGTGTTAAATAAATAATAAAAAACATAAAGCACATATGTACATACATCGAATGACAGAACTTTTAAAAAAAAAATAAATGGGAGATGGTGACGTAACCACGAAATGACGTACGTTGAGTCCGACGTAACCCGAGGACTGTCTGTAATCATAAAAATGTCTCCTATAACAAGAGATTTTCAAGCCTAAGGCAATTCATTATTTAGTGTAGACTCATACACTACATTGTAAGATCCTAACATAACCAAAAGACACTGGGCTATTCTCATAAACATTCCAGAAAATGGATATGACTTAATATACTGCCACGGGAATGTAATGATAAGACCTGGTGATAACGTACATCATCAGACTCCCTGATAAGTTCGGTATCTTCTACTTGTACTACAGCATCAGCACCGCAGGGGATTGGAGCACCTGTTGTAACCCGCATGACTTGTCCAGGCATTACTGTCTGAGTTGGCTGGAAACACAAACATGTAAGAAAGAGCTGATTTACTTTACTGCTGTTAAGTAAAACTAACATTTTCTTGTAGGAGATGTAACATTTTTAGAAACAAACCATAAAAGGAAAATCATACAGTCTTGTTCATTTTGGGCCAATGTAATGAAAGCTATTCACAAACAGGTACAGGTACACTCTAAGAGGCTTTAACTTGATTTATGGTAATGACCATTAGATGCCTTTTGTGGTACCCTGTTTTCCTTTTGAAGAACTGCCACTTACACGTGCCATTATTGTCTCTCACTCAAATAATGTGAATTTTCTTAATATATATAAAGTGATTTCAGAGTCTTTAAGAAAAAAATGCCATGCAAAATGATTTTATGCATGACAATTATGAAAAACCAGCACATTAGACATTTACTGAAGTTTTGATATTTGAGAAATATCATAACTTAAAACTAAACTTTTTGGTTAAATATAGGCAAGTCAGAAAAATTATTTAAATTATTGCTCTTGAAAATCTTTCTACCAAATGTAATTAGATAATTTTAAAATGATTGTAGTGCCTGTAATAATTTGGATGAAACATTATATCTGAGATTTTCACTGTCTGAACTCTCATAGGAATGGTAGGAGACCGATTATAGGACCTGCCTGGTAAACTTCTCCTAGCATAGGAAAAAGCATATTTTTATAAGATCCATCTGATAGGTTTGATCTGGCCTCAGATGAATAACTTGTCATTGGCCATGATTTAGGTCAGAATTGGGAGGAAAAATGCTTCAAACTTCCTCGAAGATAAAATTCTGAGATAATATTAATTCCCTAATAAAAATCTTTCCAGCCTGGCCAGTGTCACTCAGTGGTTGTGTGTCTACCTATGAACCAGGAGGTCATGGTTTGATTCCCAGTCAGGGCACATGCCTGGGTTGTGGGCTCAATCCCCAGTAGTGGGGGCGTGCAGCAGGCAGCCAATCAATGATTCTCTCTCATCATTGATCTCCCTCTCCCCACCTCTCTCTGAAATCAATAAAAACATATTTTAAAATAAGTATCTTTCCAAAGATATCTGCATCATAATTACTTATTTAAAATCTTAGGTTATGTGCTTGCTTCGGCAGTACATATACTAAAATTTTAGGTCACAACATGAATATATTTAACACTACTATACTGTATACTTAAAAATGATTAAGATGGTACATTTTAAGTTATGTATTTTTTAACAGATTAAAACCATTTTAGGGAATAGCTAAGGATATATACCTCTCCACTGGATATACATATGGAGTAAAACTGGAAATTTATTTATTAGAACAGCTTTAAAAAGCTTCTTTCAATATTATCACTACAAACAATCCCACTAATAGATAATATTATTGAACCCTCAATCTACGTTTGGTATAGTGTTAAGTGCGTTATTACATTCAATTTATATAATAATCTAAGCTCAACAAAGATAGGAATTTGTTTTATTTTTCTGTTTGCCTCTCCAGATCACATCACCATACCATCCTGTGCTGTGGCCCAGAAGGCTGACCTCTAATGGACTATTTCAACCAGGTTTCCATCACTGGATTCTGGTTAGGTAAAGCCAATGGGAGGGGTCAACAAGAGATAGAGGGCAGAAGAGAAAAGCAGGTTTATATTCCCTTTGCTCTTTCCCTGCTGGGCTGCACTTTGGTGAAGGCCAGGTCATCACTATCACTGACAGGTGACCCTGAGCCATAGCTATGAATCTCCACAGGTCCACTCCTTCAGACATAGAGATCGTAATGGAATTTCACTGTTATCCCCTGGGTGCTTCACATTTCTTCGTTAGTTTCTCTTAACCCATCTATATCTTGGATAGTCCCCACATTACTCTTCTTAATCACCTCTTTCCAGACATATTTATTGCTCTACCATTCCAAAGCCTAAAAAGTGTCTGGCACAAAGTTGGTAGTCAATAAATATTTCCAGAATGAATAAATGAACATGAATAATCTCATTATCACAACTACATGAAGTATACAATCCTTTGTGACTTACAACTCCAGTGTTCTCCCTGCTTTTCTCAGTTATTGGAGAAAGTGATTCTTGGGATTGTACTATGTATCCCCTTATTCTGCTATTTGAAAATACATTCCAGGCTCATTCAGAATTGTTATAGTTTAATGTAACCTTCTGCCAAGGTAATACCTGGCTCTGACTACTACAAACAATTTGCAGTTCCCTGAGCATTCCATGTAATTTTTAAAACACTTCCGATGGTAGTTCTATTCAGAACATTGATATTTATACAGGAAGAAAGAATCATCCAATCAAGGGCTGGAAAATGTTTGTGGGCATGTCTATGAGACATGCCAACGACACCATGCCCTATATTAATAGATGCAGATTCTTACAGCAAGAAAGAATTGGTTCTTCTCATGGGAACTCTCCTTTAATCTCTAATAACGTGTCTAATCCCTCTCTAAGATTTCCCTTACAGTGATGGTTTAAACTTAGAATTAGATCCTGGAAGTGCATGAAACTGAACTCTTTAGGGCCTGTCAGGCCTATGAATCTACCTGTTCACCGGCTTGGGATTCCCCAATGATGAAACGATCTCCTGGGCCATCAGCAGCTGTGAGATGAACAGAACCAAGAACAAACATCAGAATGGATCTATAGCAAGGAATAACAACCTACTGTTGGAATTCTAAAATTTGACTCAAATGATCAGATAGGCTTCAGGAAAGTGGAATCTCCTAGATGAGACAATGGCTTTACTAGTACTCCTGGTTTGGTATCCCAAACTCACAAGTACCAATAGAAGTGTTCCTAATTCATGCTCTTTCTTGGTGTCACTTGAGATGGTCTTCCTCTTGCTTGATAATTTCCAAACATGTACTTTTAAAATATGAAGTTCTTTTTGCCTATCTTCCTAATGAATACCACCTTATTCATGGGTATGTATTTGTGATGTGTGTGTGCCACTCATGGATATTACTATACATTTCTCCATTTTCTATAAAATTTTTAACTATTTCATACTATTTTAAAAAAAGTTATCACTCAGTTTGATCTTTATAATAACCCAGTGAAGTAGAAAGAACATAACATTCTTTTCTCCTTTTGGCATTTGAAGGAAATGAGTTACAGAATAAAGGAATTCAGGTAGAAAAGGTTAAGTACATTGAACAAGTTCTGGCTTGTGGTAGAGCTAGGACTAAAATCCAGTCTCTTAATTTCCAGTACAGTGTGTGTGTGTGTGTGTGTGTGTGTGTGTGTGTGTGTGTGTGTGTGTGTGTGTGTGTGTGTGTGTGTGTGTGTGTGTGTGTGTGTGTGTGTGTGTGTGTGTGTGTGTGTGTGTGTGTGTGTGTGTGTGTGTGTGTGTGTGTGTGTGTGTGTGTGTGTGTGTGTGTGTGTGTGTGTGTGTGTGTGTGTGTGTGTGTATTTTATAATGGGTCAATGTATATTATTCTGAATCAGAATGTATAGGCAGTGCTGCATCACATTTTTTCCATTAATTATCTTTAAATTGGAAGAAACCCTTTCACTATTGAGATTGAAAAAACCTTCTTACCCATTTTTTTTCTGAATACAGTATAGTAATGACTGGATAAAAATATTCCTAGAAATAAATATATTCAAAAGGGTTTTCTTCACATATGATGTGGATTTCAGACCAATATGACTGGTAAGGCAATATCTACCTAATAAGTTTTAAGATCAGGACCATTAGTTCTTGTTATCTGTATACAGCAAGGGCTTAGGACACATACACAGAAAAGATAACACTTTCTATAATACTATTTTAATTACATTTGCAATCATGCTGATAAATAATAAAAGTATTTTCCTTATTTTAAAAAGGACATGTGAAATTCATTATTTCTCTATGTGACTACAACATTGTTTTTTTTTACTAAAGGCTTGTAAACAATAATGTTTAAATGAGTCACTCTTTTCGCACAGGCTTTGGATAACCTATTGTGGAGGGAGATAAGAATTAACATTGGGTATCTTCTACGTAAAAGATATTGTATCTCATGCTTCATAACATTATCTTATTAATAAACTCTTGACTTTTTTTGTTTGTTTTAAATCTTATAGTATTTTCAGCATTCACTTGTAAAAAAGAGAACAGTTTTCCTGTAATGCTATTCTTACTATGCTATTTTCATGGGCTCTTCTTTTTTTAAAAAAACTTTTTTTGAAGTGAAAAATTTAAACAAACATAGAAGTCCTTGCTTCAACAATTATCAACATTTTACCAATCTTGTTTCATCTATTCCCTCACTTATTTTGGCAGAATTTTAAAGCAAATCATTATTTTCTTACTGTTGAAAATTAAAAAGTCAATTAGCTTTCAGAATTCTGCACTAAATGCATCTCAAATGTGAATAAATTGTTTTTAATTATTTTTTCTAGTAAAGATATTACCAGCCTGCCATCTCCCAGTAGCAACCTAGACATTTTCTCTTTTTTACTTCTTTGGGCAAGGGAAAATTAGCAAGGCTTTAGAGTAAAACAAAGCTGAATCCTGCTTCTGCCTATTATTAGCCTCAGGACTTCAGGCAAATTACTAAACTTTTTTCTAGCCTTCACAGTTTTCTTGTTGATAAAAATGGGGAAAATCATTTAAAAATACTAATTCTTTTTAAAGCTTTTCATTCCTTTCACTCATTCACTAAATTTCTAAGTGTCATCGAAGTGCTGAGGTAGAGTAAAGAGTAAAACCAGACATTGTTTCAATTCTAGTGTGGTGCCAGTCTGTTGTAATGTTTTTTAAACTCTGGATCACAAATGGAGGTGGGCTCTAAAATCAACCTGTAAACAATGTGTGTTTTTTTAAAATTAAAAATAATAGAAAATATATTTCATCACACATGGTAAGGATAAATACTGTTTCAGGAAACTTATTTTTATATGTGTGCATATATATATTTGTAGATATTGTATATGTCATATATGTGTGTATATCATTGGCTTGTAATGTATACTGTATTTAATATGTCTTTTTTTTTTTACTTTTTAAAAACAGACTTTATTTTTAAGAGCAGTTTTAGGTTTGTAGCAAAATTGCACAGAAGAGTTCAAAGTTCCCATATCTCCCCTGCTCCTGTCCATAGTTTCTCCTATCATCAATATCTTATATTAGTGAGGTATATCTGTTACAATGGATGAATTAATATTAATACATTATTACTAATTTAAGTCTGAAGGTTACATTAAGATTCACTCTGTGTTATACAGTTCTGTGAGTTTTGACAAATGTATAGTGTCTTGTATCCACCATTACACTATCATAGAGAATTAATGTGTGTCTTCCTATGAGTGTGGTTAAAATAAAACTCTTCAAGCCACTGATGTAATAGATATTAACCAACCAATCATATTAATGAATATGTAAGCACAAATTAAGAAAACCACTCTAAAGGAACATGGTTTTATGACAGTACACAACGAAAGTAATGGAACTACACTGGGGGGTCAAGGAAAGTTACCCTAATAAGAGGATTTTTTATTTGAATATGAAGGATGAATAAAGCTAAGTAGGCAAAAGGTAGGAGTGTGTGTGTGTGAGGGGGGGAGGGGGAGGGGAAGAGAGAGAGAGGGAGAGGGAGAGAGAGAGAGAGAGAGAGAGAGAGAGAGAGAGAGGTAGAAATGCTCCATACAAAGTTCCTCACCTAGAGAGCAGTATGTGTAAAGGCCTCTGGTTCATGTCTTCCTTATATCTTACCCTTTAGCCATTCTCAAGTTCTGGTACTGTCGCTCCTAAGGATGACTCATATTTCAGCTCCACAGCATATGCTACTTCTATTGCTTGGAATGTCCTTTCTTTATTCCCGCCTTTGATGAAAGACTTCTTAGCTTTTAAGACTCAGTTCAAATGTCATTTTCTTTATGAAGTCATATCTGACTCCGAATCCTCAAGAGTCACCTACTTTCTCTTTTGTTTCTCCAGAGTATTCTTGAAATAAACTCTAATATGGCTTCCTAATGTATTTGCAATTATTTGTTTATTTGCCTCAGGGGGAATCCCTAGAACTTGCTGCATAATAGGTATTCTATAAATGTTCAATATGTGAAGTATTCAAAGTGTCCAATAAATAAGAATAAATTAATAATCTTTTTAGAAAGATGCATGAGTGAATGAATGAATAATATTTTTTCAACACAAAATGCTGTATTTTGAATGTCTTTCATTTTCTGCTAGGCATACTGTCTTTAAAATGTTTGTCAACATTCACCATCTTTTGATATTTAGAAAGACTGCTCTGATTAATTCTATATAACTTAGGTTATGTTGTTATTCAAGGTTATGACTACCTCATCACGATGCTCAATAAATACTTGTTAAAAGAATAAAGAAATGAATTTGGCATTTCTATAATAGGTGGAAAGTTTGTAAACTGACTTGTATGTGTTACTATTGTGTTTTGTAAATCTTTTAAAATACTTTAAAATGAGCTCTGTAGAAACAGGGATCACTTCCTTCATTTCTTTTTTGAAACCCTCTGCTCTTCAATCTTCCTCCTGTCTCCTGTTCCCCTACACATGGAAATGCACATACACTTAAAATGCTTACATCAATGTTTTACACAAATGCTCTAAATAAATGTTACTGAATAATGAGTGACTGGAGATCATCTGGGGCGAGTCTGGTATAGACTGCCAGGGAGGCCAACATCTGAAAGAGCCCTCAAGTGATTCTAAGCAGCAAGATCCCTTGTGATTAGGGACTGTGAGTTACCTGGGGAGAGAATACGTGGTCACTTAAACTGTGTTCTCCACCTTGCCCTGGGAAACAGGCCTCTATACTGCTGGCTAAGGAAGGCTCAGTTAACCAACATAAAAGAAGGCTCTTTGAATGAAGAGGAGTCTTTTTAAAAATTATATTTCCCTTATAATAGTGCTTCTCAGTCCTTAATGAGCATATAAATCACCTGGCGATCTTGTTAAAATACAGATTCTGATTCAGTGGGTCCGGGATAGCACCTGAGGTTCTACACTGCTGAGAAAGCTGATGTTGCTGCTGCTGGTTCATGGACTATTCTTGTTGAGGAGCGGAAAAGATTGAACTGAATATAGACACATTCAGACTAAGAGAAAACTTAAGGAATAAAAAAATCAGTGAACAACAACAGAAGTTCTGATTTTACATTAATGCCAAGGCTCACTATTTCTTATATAGAAAAATAATAACCAATCTATCTAATTGCTGATATTTATTGAAAAAATATCTATTAAAGAGATAAGTAAAAGAAAAGTTGCCATTTTCAAGATGAATTCTACAAGCTTAGGTGTGAGGGGGCTGAAGTGGAGGAACGGTGGTATATGAACCTAAAGTTTGAAAAAAAATTAAGCTACAGTATGCCATTAGAAAAGATGGAGCCCCAGGATTTCTGTAAAGGCTTAGGATCTCTGCCCCCCGCCAATTCTGACATTTCAGTTAATAAACTTTCTTTTGTTTTTTAATTGTTGAATTTAATTAGAAGGAAGTGATAAAAGCAATATAAACCCAATCCTAACAGCAAATGCATTATATAAGTAATTCATTACACTTAATGCTAGATTCTGAAGCTTTTAATGTCCAGATTTTTTTTAGTCTTGTTTACCTGTTTATGTAAAGATTTC